GGGAGCCCGATGTGGGACTCGATCCCAGGACCCTGGGATCATGACCTGAGCTGAAGGCAGTCGCTTAACCAACTGAGCCACCCAGGCGCCCTGGACCACTTTCTTACGCCATACACAAAAATAAACTCAAATGGATTAAGGACCCAAATGTGCAATCTGAAACGATAAAAATCCTAAAAGAGAGCACCACAGGCAGTAATTTCTCTGCTTCCGCCACAGCAGCATTATTCTAATCTGTCTCCTCAAGCAAGGGAAACAAAAGCAAAAATAAACTATTGGGACTTCATCAAAATAAAAAGCTTCTGTACAGTAAAGGAGACAACAAAACTAAAAGACAACCTACTGAATGGGAGAAGATATTTGCTAATGATACACTTGGTAAGGGTTAGTTTCCAAAATACATAAACAACCTAACACACAAAAAATATAATCCAATTTAAAAATGGGCAGAAGGCATGAACAGACATTTTTTCAAAGAAGACATAGTACAGATGGCCAACAGACCTATGAAAAGATACTCAGCATTACTCTCAGCATCAGAGAAATGCAAATGAAAACTATAATGAGATATCACCTCACATCTGTCAGAATGGCTAAAACCAAAAACATAAGAAACAACAAGTATTGGCAAGGATGTGGAGAAAAAGGAACTGTCATGTGCTGTTGGTGGGAATGCAAACTGGTGCAGCCACTGTGGAAAACAGTATGCTCAGAAAATTAAAAATAGAACTTCCATATGATCCAGTAATTGCAGTACTGGGTATTTACCCAGAGAATATGAAAACACTAATTTGAATGGATGGGTGCACCCTTATGTTCATTGCAGCATTATTTACAATAGCCAAATTATGGAAGCAGTGCAAGTGTCCATTTATAGATGAATGGATAAAGAAGATATGGTATATATACAGTGGAATATAACTCAGCCATAAAAAAGAATGAAATCTTGCCATTTGCAACAACATGGAGCTAGAGAGTATAATGCTAAGCAAAATAAGGCAGAGAAGGACAAATACCATATTATTCACTCAAATGTGAATGTAAAAAACAAATGAACAAATTAAAAAGACAAACTGAAAAAAAACAGACTTGAAACCAGATCTGGCTAAATCAGATGTAAGAAACAGGTGACAGAATTCTAAGGTGATTGAGTGCTATGTTGAGAATGTCTTGTAAGGAGTTCAAAAGGGCCATTTCTTTTTCTTTTCCATTTTCATCTCTAAGATAATATTTTTAGAGCTAAAATTGTTCAGGTACTTACCTGAAGGTAATGCTCCTTTTGAAGTGGTTCTTTTAGGCTTAAAGAAATGTGATGGTTTCTTTCTCTTTAAAACATGTAAGAATACATGAGATACTAAGATTTATTTCTTTTATATAAATATTTCCTTCTTTGATCAAAGCAGTTGCTTGTAAACCAGGAGCTTTGCCATTGTTTCAGGCAGAAAGTAACATCAGGTGTAGTGCCATTGTAGTATTCTGTCAAACTAGTTTTTAAATTATGTCCTGCAGTTATTCCATATAAAAAAGTATTTGTTGCTTAGCTTTTGCCTTTCAGGACAGTTTGAGTAGAATTTATTCTTTTTGTTAGAGCATACCAAATTCTCATAAAGTAAGAAGCAACAAATTTTTATGCTACTGTTTAATTTTTGCTTTTTTTTTTTTTTAGAATTCAAGGACTTAACCTGAACAGAATATGTTTTTCTTATTGAAACATCATAGACTGTGATAGGGCTTATAGCGGTAGAAATAGAAAAGCGGGATAACCTAGAGAGACGTCATGATTCAAGAAAGCCTCTAGCTCTCTTTCATCCTCCTGGCTCTTGGTCCAAAGGCAGTATTTGTTGTATTCTGAAGCCAAATGTAAAACAATATTCATCTATTTTAAATTATCAGTAACTCCCTTCAAAGTCTAAAGACTGTATTAGGATAGACTTTTGAAAAATCTTATATTTATTTTAGAAAAATTTATTTTTCATTAGAAAATTACTTTTTTACATTTAGTTATTCTGCTATGTTCTCTACTAGTATATGTTACAAATATGATTCTGAAAATTGGAATACATCGTGTTTAATTCTTGTAGAACTCAGAATTTTTGTTTACGATTGTTGTTCCCCTTAGAGATAAATACCTTTCTGCTTAAATCTGTATAAATTTTTGGCAAGATTGATAAAGTGGTTAGAAAAAGAGAGCTGCACTTTAGCTCGTATTGGTGACTGTTGTTTAGGAAGCAGTAGCACCGGAGCACCCTTTCAGTGCCATGAAACAAGAACAGCAGAGGACATGGATTGAAGATGTGAACAGGCAAATAGAAGATGATCGGCAAAGAAAAATTACATCTTCAAAGGTAACATGTGGATGATACAAAGGGAAGAAATAATTTGAGTCTTTAATCACAAACCTAAAAGTATCCTAGAACTATTTGACAGGACTACAGTATTCAAATTATTACACATTTGCTCTTGCAAACCTTTTATGGAATGCATTAGTAAGTGCTTTTGCATAGTTTCTTAAAACTAGCTTTTTAGGAATTTCCTAATTCTTTGAATTTCTCATATTCTTCATGTTATCTAAGTATATATGGAATCAGTAAAGAATATAACTTAATTTTTATGATGCTTATTCTGCTCTATGGTGACTTTTAAAAATGGTGTTTGATTATCGTTTTAGGACTTTATACATGAGAACAGTTAGAAAAATTCTTAGTAATTCTTATTTATCATGATTAGGGTGAGGAACATGACAGATGGGCAATGCATTTTGATTCATTAAAGAACTATCCTGCTTCTCAGTCTCAACTGTCCTCTCGGTCAACACACAACCAACCAGAGTACTTATGTGTCTCTCCGGACACTCAGGAACTGGCTGATATCTGCAGTGTTTATACACCTACGACTGGAAGTCAGGTTGAACCTTCAGAGGAGGAGCATATAGCAAAACCTGTTAGAGATAAGGCCATGGCAAACAGTCAGAAAACAAAGTAAGTTTTTTTTTCAGGATTTATTAATGTTTAAGAAAGTCTGTGTGCTTTATTAAAAGGACTGTCGTTACATTTATAATATGTGTTAATTTCAGGTTTGGTATTTTTCTTTAAAGTAGAGATGACTAGTGGATATATCTGAAACAAAAATGATTTAGCATCTTGTTAGGTTTAACCTTTTGGGGGTTTTGAATAGCTATCTTTTGGGGGTTTTGAATAGTTAAAGTGTTTATCTTGCCAGCTTTCTCCGTTCTATGACTGCTCTCTTGGATCCAGCTCAGATTGAAGAACGTGACAGGCGACGACAAAAACAGTTAGAACATCAGGTATTGCATTGTAAAATACGCTTCTTTGCCTTCTTAAATAATAGTCATGGCCAGTGGATACCTAAATAAATGGAATTTAAAATTCCAATATAAATGTACAGCGCAGGCCCTGTCCAGTCCTGTGATGAATCTAATTCTTACTCCAGCTGGCATTAATATTAAAATTATACTGATGCTGAGAACCAGACAGTATCACATAGTACAGCCAGCCACCTGCCTTCCAGAAGAGAAGGTCTTTAATATATAAGCTGTATATATGAAATGGCACTAAATCTTAAGTTAGTACTGGTTATTTTTTTCATTTGTTTTTAGTTCTCCTGAATTTTGTTTAGGATGAGAATTAGTTCTTTTAAGGGAACTATATAGGGCATTGAAGTAGAATTCTGATTGAGAAATCTAGCAGATAATATAAGAAAGGAGACTAAGATTAAAATTCTCTCCTAATTTTAGTCTAACACTAAAAGGACTTAAAATTCTAAATAATTCTTTAAAACCTCGGATACAGGGGCGCCTGGGTGGCTCAGTCGTTAAGCGTCTGCCTTCGGCTCAGGTCACGGTCCCAGGGTCCTGGAATTGAGCCCCACATCGTGCTCCCTGCTCCACGGGAAGCCTGCTTCTCCCTCTCCCACTCCCCCTGCTTGTGTTCCCTCTCTCGCTGTCTATCTGTCAGATAAATAAATAAAATCTTAAAAAATCCTCTGATACATGAAGAATTCGGTTTAATTAATATTGTTAGTCTTAATCAGTAAGTGAATTACAGAACGTCTGCTACTTACCAGGCACTATGCTAAGTGCTGAGATTTTTTCTTCAGTTGTTTTTGGATTACTTCTTCTAACAGCCCTCCTGGTTGAAGAAAAAGCATATAGAATTTGAAAGACGAGAGGTGGGACAAATACATTGGAAATTTGACATTTTAACTTGACTTATATATGTAATACTATATTATATATTATCTGAGACTGATAAACTTACTTTAGAAATACAAATGCTTCAAATGGATTTTTTAAATTTGTGACAGTGCTTTTTGTGATATATGATTTATGACTAGAAAGCCATCACTGCTCAGGTAGAAGAGAAACGCAGGACGAAGCAGCTGGAAGAACAGCAAAGAAAGAAGGAAGAACAAGAAGAGGAGCGTCGCTTAGCACGGGAACGAGAAGAGATGCAGAAACAGTATGAAGAAGACATACTTAAGCAAAAACAAAAGGAAGTAAGTATATATTAAAAATTTTTTTATTGAAATATAGTTAACACGTGTTACATTAGTTTCAGGTGTACAGCAGCATAGTGATTCAAGAGTCCTTTATGTTATGCTGTGTTCACAAGCATACCATACACACTATTATAGTACCATTGACTGTATTCCCTGTGCTGTAGCTTTCATCCGCATGACTTGTTCATTTCATAACTGAAAGCCTATACCTCCCACTCCTCTTCCCTCATTTACTAACCCCCTCTTCCCCGCTACCAGTTTGTGGGTCTGGTTTTGTGTGTGTTTGGGGTTTTTTGTTTTGCTTTTCATTTTATCTTTTTAGATTCCACATGTAAGTGACTTTGTATGGTATTTGTCTTTCCCGTCTGACCATAGGTCCATCCATGTTATTGCAAATGGCAAGATCTCCTTCTTTTTTATGGCTGAATAATACTCTGCTTTCTGTATATACCATATCTTCTTTATCCATTTATCTACTGATGGATGCTTGGGTTGCTTCCATATCTTGGATATTATAAATAATGCTGCAGTAAACACAGGGGTGCATATATCTTTTGTTTCCTTTGGGTAAATACTTTATAGTGGAATTACTGGATCATGTGGTAGTTCTACTTTTAATTTTTTGAGGAAGGTCCATATTGTTTTCCACAGAAGGTTATACCGATTTCCCTTCCCACCAGCAGTGCACAAGGGTTCCCTTTTCTCTACATCCTGACCAACACATGTTGTTTCTTGTCTTTTTGATATTAAGTAGGGGGAGATGATATAATTATGATTTTGATTTGCATTTCCCTGATGATTAGTGATTTTGAGCATCTTTTCACATGTCTGTTAGCCATCTGTATGCTTTGGAAAAACGTTTGTTTGGGTCCTCTGCCCTTTTTTAAATATCAAATTATTTGTTGTGGGGGGACCACCAGGGTGGCTCAGTCGGTTAAGTGTCCAACTCCTGATTTCAGCTTAGGTCATACTCACTGGGTCATGTCTAGCCCAGTGTGGAGCCTGCTTAAGATCCCCCCCCCCACTTCTCCAGCCCCTCTCCCCATTCATGTGCTCAGGCGCTCTCTCTTAAAAAAAAAAAAAAAATCAAACGAGTACAGAGTTGTACTAGTTCTTTGTATATTTTGGATAGTAACTCCTTTTCACATATATTGTTTGCAGATATCTTCTCCCATTCAGTGATTTGTCATTTTGTTTTGTGGATGGTTTCTTTTGTTGTGCAGAAGCTTTTTTTTTTTTTTTTTAAATAATCCCAGCAGTTTATTTTTGCTTTTATTTCCCTTGCCTGAGGAGACAGATCTAGAAAAATGTTGATAAGGCCAATGTCCAAGAGGTTACTGCCTATGTTTTCTTTAAGGAGTTTTATGGTTTTAGGTCTCACAGTTTAGATCCATTTGAGTTTATTTTTGTGTATGGTGGAAGAAAGTGGTCCAGTTTCATTCTTGTGCATGTAACTGTCCAGTTTTCCCAGCACATTTTTTTTTTTTTTTAAAGATTTTGTTTATTTATTTGACAGAGAGAGACACAATGAGAGAGGGAACACGAACAGGGGGAGTGGGAGAGGGAGAAGCAGGCTTCCCGCGGAACAGGGAGCCCAATGCGGGGCTCGATTCCAGGACCCTGGGATCATGACCTGAGCTGAAGGCAGACGCTTAACGACTGAGCCACCCAGGCGCCCCTTCCCAGCACTTTTTGTTGAAGAGATGTCTTTTTCCCACTGCATATTCTTCTTTTTTTTTTTTTTTTACCTTACTTTTTTTTTTTTATTCTTATGTTAATCCCCATACATTACATCATTAGTTCTAGATGAAGTGTTCCATGATTCATTGTTCGTGCACAACAC